AGAGAGGACACAATTTGGGATGACCAAAAAAATACATCTTGTTCTCAATTTTCTCAGAATCAGTTAAAATTTAACTCAACCATCTCTCTCTGTGTGTGTGTGTGTGTGTGTGTTTCAAACTTCAGCTTCTGCACAATTTTGCAGAAGAACATAGTATCCGAACATGGATAATTGCTAAGGGCATTATTCGTGATAATATCGTTTTACAGTGTACTCATTTGGTCATCCTACCTTTTCAAGATTTGATATAATTTCTTGTGTGTGTGTGTGAGTGGTGTATACTTTATACATATATTACATTACTGTTTGTTTTCTTCTGCTTGTGTTTGTGGATTTCTCAGGCGACATTATAAAGACATTGAAGGAGAACGGATTCGAATACACATGGGGAAATGTTACAGTTAAGCTTGCTGAATCTTATGGTTTCTGCTGGGGCGTAGAGCGTGCTGTTCAGATTGCTTATGAAGCCAGAAAACAATTCCCGACTGAGAAGATTTGGATCACTAATGAAATCATTCACAACCCCACCGTTAATCAGGTATCTTAACTTCACTCCAATCTTATTAAAAATATATTTCGTTTCAAATCTCAATTTCATTTTGCTATAATGGACGTGGGAAGAGAAGGAAATGCTCTGTACTTTGATTAATGATAATATTGCTTCTATAATTAGAGGCTTGAAGAGATGGAAGTGAAAAATATTCCTTTAGACAACGGCAAGAAACAATTTGATGTTGTTGACAAGGGCGATGTTGTCGTACTGCCTGCTTTTGGAGCTGCTGTGGATGAGATGTTGGTTTTGAGTGAAAAGAATGTCCAAATAGTTGATACAACTTGCCCATGGGTATCTAAGGTACCTTTTTTTTTTCCACCCCAAATTGCTTTTAGAGGTATTATTTTCTGCCGCATGCTAACGGATAAAAGCTCTTGTATGGAAGGTCTGGAATACTGTCGAGAAGCACAAGAAGGGAGAATATACTTCAATAATCCATGGTAAATATTCTCATGAAGAGACTGTGGCTACTGCCTCTTTTGCAGGGAAGTATATCATTGTAAAGAACATGAAAGAGGCAAGTTAGTTTATTTTTTCTGCTTTCCAACTTTTAATGGTTTAGTAGAGCATTTTTTTTTTTTTTTAAATATTGTGAACTTGTGTTGCAGGCAACATATGTATGTGATTACATTTTAGGTGGTGGACTTGATGGATCCAGCTCAACAAGAGAGGCATTTTTGGAGGTACAATTAGTATCCTTTCCTGCTTCAAAGGGTTAATGATGCAGAATAAATATAAGTATTATTATTATTATTATTAATATTATTATTATTATTATTATTATTATTATTATTATTATAGATTTGTTAGGAAACTTATTATTTATCACATTGTTAGGATTCTTGTCTTGTTAGACAAGTTAGTATTGTTAGGATTCTTGTCTTGTTGGACAAGTTAGTATTAGGGTTGTAGGAGCCTTATTTAAGGGACTCCTCATTTATTGTTTTATGCAGTTGATTTGAATAAAAATATGAAAATTGATTGTGAGTTTTATCGAGAGAGTATCTCGTTTTACGTGTTTTACGAGAGAGTATCTCGTTTACTCGTTTATCCTTCCCACTCGTACGCATTCCCTACATCAGTTGGTATCATAAGTCAGTACGATCGCGATGTCGCCGGGACGAGAAATGCTGCAAACAACCAACGTGATGCCACCTTCCACGATCGGTTTCAACAGATTGACTACCGATTTCAAGAGTTGGACGTGCGTTTCACGAATTTGTTTGTCGATCTTTCGACGGGGATCGAGGATGTGTATTTGACGCTGAACAACGTGGTTGTTACGGAATGGCAGACGGACCGTGATGGAGGCCGTGACTATCGCGGGGGATACAGAGGCGGTCGTGGGGGAAGCAACCATGTCGGGGTGCCCCGGCAGCGATCCCAGCAACCTCTGAATGGCAACGGCGTTGGCGACTCTACCGGGTCGGCTAACCCGTTTACGGGTCGACCACCATAGCAAGGAGACGATCACAACCTAGGTCAGTCCCGAGTTCGCAAGCAATGGAGGGCTGAAGGTTGTTTCAAACATGGTGCCGGGCGCGACGATGAGAAAACCCTAGGGGCTGTACAATTTTGCAGTCAACAGCAGCCTGAGGTGTCTTTTGACTCCCAATCTTCGCTCATTCACGCAACCCAAGGTGGCAATTTCTGGAGAACTTCTTCGGGTTTCAGCTCCAATCGGGAAATTAGCAGACGGGGACCGGATGACGAGGGCGTAGCCTTCGCCGGGTTCGATCTGCCGAGGCGCCGCTGGGACAACGGGTGCGACGCTGTAGGCGTTGGCGGTGGATACCGACGGCGAATGGAGGCACCTGATTTCGAGTTGTACTTACCCATAAGAAAGTTAGGGCGTGCTGAGGCGGGCTTGGGTGGCGATGGGCGGCGCAACGCTGAGGACGCCGGCGACTACCATGGTCGCGCCGCCTGGCAGGACGAGCAAACCCTAGGTGACTTCCGTCCACGCGAACAACGAGGGTCAGTCGGAGGTCGTGCAGCGGCCTGGGCATTTGATGGTCGCCGCGCCGCTGAGGGTTTTTCCACGGTCGATGACCACGATTGGCAACAACACGGGACCGATTTTGGCGACAGCGGGGGCGGCGAGGCTCGACGGGGACAACCCTGGGCAGAGATGCTTTTCGGCGGGTCTAGTTCTCAAGCTCGGCGATGCGCTGTCGGTTTCACCGGTGACGACGGCCTCGATGCGCGGCGGGGCAGTAGAAATATTGCTTGGCACAGGGGTGCTCAATTGTTTGGATTTTACAGCAGAGTGGTACAATTACAGAGAGCAGCGGATGGGGGCTTTGTACGGGGATTTTGGGCGTGTGTAGAAGATGAGTTCAATCGTAATTTTGGGCCTCCACATAAACAACCCACACGAGATTTTTGGGCCTGTGAAGAAGGTACGAAATTTGTGCTTGTGGAGGGTAATTTTGACCGCAAATTTGGTCAATGGGTGAGCCCGTTTCGCGCTGACATTCTTGACTTCGACGTGGATCACGTTGACGGGCCGGCCCAATTTACGACAGTCCGCCCATTTTTTATGAGGAGTTTCCGGTGACGGGGTCGCGTACGATTACTCGGCTAGCGGTCGGACCCGATTTAGGGCGTATCTTGGCCAACGATGGTTTTTGGGAGCCGACGACGATGTTGAATAACTTGTCGTCCGTTTTCCAATTGTGTATCGCGAAATCTCCCATCAACGGGGTGGTTGGCCATAATTTGGATTTGGACGCGACACACGTGGTGTTATGTTTGCTGCTCTTTCGGATGTGTGGGTTATGCGTCTGACGTCATGTGCATGCGCTTTTGCAGCACTTCAGCCCTAGCCCAAGCTTATGTTTACCTTCGGTGTTGTTGGACGTTCTTCAAGTTTCGTGTTCGGTCGAGGACGAAGCGGGAAACACTTCTCCAATGGGAACAGGTTGGATTCGAGGGCGAATCCTGCTCAACCGGGGGAGAATGATGCAGAATAAATATAAGTATTATTATTATTATTATTATTATTATTATTGGTATTATAGATTTGTTAGGAAACTTATTATTTATCACTTTGTTAGGATTCTTGTCTTGTTAGACAAGTTAGTATTGTTAGGATTTTTGTCTTGTTGGACAAGTTAGTATTAGGGTTGTAGGAGCCTTATTTAAGGGACTCCTCATCTATTGTTTTATGCAGTTGATTTGAATAAAAATATGAATTGATTGTGAGTTTTATCGAGAGAGTATCTCATTTTACGTGTTTTACGAGAGAGTATCTCGTTTACTCATTTATCCTTCCCACTCGTACGCATTCCTTACATCAGTTAATTACATAAATACCCTGGTTTCGGGTTTCCCCTAGCAGATACAAATTTTCAAGTGGGTTTTTGTAGTTATCTTAGTGTCATCTTATGATGGGACTCGATAAATGTTCTTCTGCAGAAATTCAAATATGCAGTGTCTGATGGATTTGATCCAGAGAAAGATCTTGAAAAAGTTGGTATTGCAAACCAAACTACAATGTTAAAGGGGGAAACCGAGGAAATTGGTTAGTTAGCATCTCACAAGTCACAACAACTTTCTATTCATATTTACAGTGCACAAAACTTGTTTAATAAATGACTTCAATTCTGCAGGAAAATTAGTTGAAAGAACCATGATGCAAAAGTTTGGAGTCGAAAATATCAACAGCCACTTCATAAGTTTCAACACTATATGCGATGCAACTCAAGTAAAATCTTCCTCCCAGACCATTCAGTTTTTTAAATTGTGCTGCCATAACTTTTATTTCAATATCCTCTTTCAAAAACCAAAAGTCATAATCTCAATTAAGCTAAACCCCACGCGTAGTTACTTTAATTGTCTCTTTCTTGAAGTTCCCTGTCAATATTGTTGCCTATTTGTTATCATGTTCCAGAATTGTTTATGCGTGATTGGATATGGATTTGATTGGTTTTTTGTTAACCATAGTTAATTTTGAAAAAAGTGGCATGGTTAGTTGTAAGTGAAAATTTGAGTTTAAATTAAAATAATATTTTAAATAAATAATTAAAGTTTATTTGATGCAAAATGGAGAAGAATGATTGGAAGTGATGGTTAGATAAAATTATGTGAACGAATGAATATGAATTAAAGTTGATCTGATGTATGAGGTTGATATTATTAAATTATATTGATAATATTGAGGACGGTGTGAGGTTGGGTTAAAGTTGAGTTAAATTTGAGTTAAATTTGAGTTTTGATTGTTTTTTTTTTTTTTTGGTTATGTTTACATCCAATCACACCCTTACCGACCAAATGTTTCTGTATTTAGGAACGGCAAGATGCCATGTATAAACTGGTTGAAGAAAAACTAGATCTCATGCTAGTTGTTGGCGGTTGGAACTCAAGCAACACATCGCATTTACAAGAAATCGCAGAGGAACGCGGGATTCCTTCATATTGGGTTGACAGTGAGAAAAGAATAGGCCCAGGAAATAAAGTTGCTTACAAGTTGATGGTATATGCTTAAGTAATAATTATCGTACGTTACAATTTTCTCGGGCTTTTGTGTGACATTCATTCGCTGTCTATATTCCGTGCACAGCATGGTGAGTTGGTTGAGAAAGAGAACTGGCTGCCGGAGGGTCCCATCAGAATCGGTATTACTTCCGGTGCATCTACACCCGATAAGGTTATTCTGCTTTATATATATGTGTGTGTGTGTGTGTGTATCTTTTCACGTCTCATATAAAATATTTTAGCTAGGAATGGTTACGAAAATACAGCGCCCTATTGATTTGAGGATGCTCTTTGTGAAAGAGAAACATCTGCCAATAAATTTTGTAATTCGGGCAAATTCTCAAGTGTAATTTTATCGAGCAACATTTTTAATAAAAGAGAAAAAAATTTCTAAATGTTAGCAAAAAAAATAAAAAAAAATAAAAAAAAATGCCATTGCTTGCATGTCGAAACACATCATTGCTATACTACTGCGATGGAATTCTATGATCTCACTCCTGAATAAACACATTCGGAACAAATGCAGAACTAATTAAATCTTTTTTTTTTTTCCTTTCATTTGTTTTGTACACACACTCTCCAGGTCGTTGAAGATGTTCTTGCAAAGGTCTTCGACATCAAACGTGAAGAATTACTGCAAGTGGCATAAACTCTCCATTTCGCATTGTGATTCCCATGTAAGCAAAATCGAAACTTGCTTTCGAGTTACGTCTAATCTTATACGAGACACCCCATGTTTTAGGCCCGGCTGACTCTAGGAAGCAACATTAATGTAATTGCTTCGTGTAACGAAAGTGAAATTCGCTTGTTGTATTTACACAGTAACACATGCATGTAATAGTAAGGTACTCAGACCTTCCTTTGGCTGGGCTAGCAGTGTAAAATTCTTAAGCAAATTATCTGTTATTTGGACTTGGTCCCTGTTAAGTGTTAAGCTTATACAAAAAGGGAAAAGAAGTTTTTGTGAGAGAAACATGCATGGCTTGTGATTTTGTGTTCTTGAATTAGGTTCCTATTGGTGAATGGTGATGATGATAATTAATATTTATATTGCACGAGCTTAATGTAAAAACATATATATATTCAAAATTAAATATTATATAGCAAAAATTATTATAGTAACGCTATAAGTATATAGTATTGTACATAGGAGTGTACATAACACTCACATTGAGTGGATCAACCAAAAATAAAAAGTCAAGTGGACCCTACTCCATGTGAGTGTAATGTATATCTTTATGTACATTTATTATGTACTAATAGCATTTTTCAAATTATTATATATGATTAAATAGTTTTGCGACGAAGCCAACAGTTGGCTCCATAATAGAGTCAAGTTTATATACAACAAATAAACATACTATATTAATAAAATTGTATTAATCTTATTTAAGTAGTCAGAAAATATGTTAAGTTTATTTGTTGTATATAGAAGGTTGGCTCTACTATGGACGCCAACTGAGTTCATAGCAAAACCGTATGATTAAATTTGAACATTACCTAATCTCTGACTCACCCTATATATATGTACAAGTTCGAACCGTGTTGATTTTTCATGCTTTGTAATGATACTTGTCGTGTTAGTTTGTACTTTTATCCATGCTTATTACTATTTTTAAAACTATAAAACACTTAATCAAATTCAAATATAAATATATTTAAAATTTAATAAATTGTTATCTGTTATTGTTTATTATACGTAATATACCAAATTAATAATATTTTGACTGTTACAATTTGACATCAATATTTCGTATTAAAAAATATATCTATTCTTACAATATAAAATAAATCAAATAATAATGTGTTTTAAGAAGTATTCAAAAATTCAAAATAAAATATTTTAATTTAATTTTTGAATTTTTAATTTATAACCATGGGTATTGTACCACAATTTGTTTTGATAACAGTAACTGGCTAAGTAGTGCGGGAGGCTTGATCCGGGACGACACGGGACGGTGGATCACGGGATTTCTTATAAATATTGGGTCTTGTACCATCACGGGAGCCGAGCTTTGGGAGTCTTTTTCAGGGGCTTTCATTGACATGAGATTTGAATTGTAGACAAATTATTGTTGAAACTGATAGCCAATGCGTTATGAGGATGGTGATGAATGTGGCTGGTGTTTTTGGAGCTCATGAGGCTATGGTGATGGCCATTAGAGAGTTACTTCAGCGGGATTGGAATGTGCGAATTCAGCATGTCCATAGAGAAGCGAATTTCACGACCGATCACCTGGCGAGTTTAGCGGCATCATCTCCGACTGGATTGTTTCGAATATCTTCACCATCTATAGGGTTAGGTGTATGACTTGAGCATGATATTATAGGGGTCTCATATCCCGACGAGTTCTAGCCTAAACCTATGACCTCCTTTTTTGTACAAAAAAAAAAATTAGATAACTTTAGTCTAAAAATGTGGGACCTATTGAAACGAAAATTAAATAAGTGCTGATTCGTGCAAATTTGGGGTCGCCGTTTTAGTTTGACTTAGCTCTAGAATATCGTCGTTGACTAATAAACAAAGTCAACCGGAGTTCTAGACGACGACGTATTTGCAGAAACCTACAGCGACACGTTCACTTCAAAACGGCGCCGCTTTCTCTGTATCCTTCCGTGCCACACTTCCTTCAAAACGACGCCGTAACAGCAACCGCGCACACTGAAATTCACCCAATATTCAAGAACTCTCCCCACAGCACGAAAACCCTGTGCATATATATAATATCTTTGCAACGGGCTCTCTCTCTCTCTCTCTCTCATCGCCGGGAAACATCTGGCCCATTGATCCTCCGAGATCACATAGCCTTGCCGGAAACGGCGCTGATCGTCGATTGTTTCTCCGGAATTCCTGCTTGAGGCCGTCCGCGTAGGCGTTGTGGACTTGTGGTGTGGTGGGTTTTAAGTATTGATTATTGAGATATGGATGACGATGATGATTATTACGTGACCGGTGACGGCAGCGAGGAGGAAGATGATTACTACGGGTCCGATCATGACGGGGAGCCGCTCGACGGGCTCGAGGACGACGATTCCGATGTCCCGTGTGCCCGCTCAAGGGCTCCTTCTTCCAAGGTGTGTGCGTTCTGTGGGTTGTTCTGTTTTTGGGTTTTGCAGTGTGTGGTTGGTGCTGTTCAATGCCCCTTTGTTGAAATTGTTGCCTTTCGTGCTTTTTTTTTTTTGTTTTTTCATTGGATTGTTGGTTGGAGCTTGATGATTTTGAGAAGGGGTTGCCTTGTTTTTTTCTGACATTTAATCATGTTATTTTGGTAATGTGGTATAGACTTATAGTGTGGTTGGAGTTTGCTGTTAGTTGTTGTCGATTTAGTTGTAATTTGGCATCGTTGATTATCGATCTAATCAACATTTAGTCTTGTTATTTTAATTAATAATATGAATATGGTGTGGTTTGAGTGTGTTGTTAGTTGTCAATTTAGTTATAATTTGGCACTGCTCATGTTCTATTATCGGTTTAATGATCATTTACTCATGTTATTTCGATAACGTGGATATGGTGTGAAATGAGTTTGTTGTTAGTTTTCAATTTAATTGTAAGTTGGCAACTTTTGGTTACGTATATCAGTTGAATGATGGTTTGTGTGCCGTTTGCAGATAATCACAAGAGAGTCTCTGTTGGCTGCTCAGGTACCTTCACTTCATTCTTGCCGGATTCCCCTGAATTGTCTATAATTCGTCGAATTGTACAGAAACCTGAGTTTATGATAACGAATTCCTCAGAAATTGCAATCGTGCAGAATTGAGTAATCTGTTTCTGTTTTCAGATTACATTTTATGCATGTTAACTTGACGTAAACTAATGATTTGGTTTGGACGATTGAGAACTCGTAGCTCTAGGCATTTTATGTAATCCAATCAAAGATAATGATTATGTGATTCTTGCAGAGGAAAGATTTACGGAGGGTAATGGAGTTGCTATCGGTGAGGGAACACCATGCACGAACCCTTCTTATCCATTACAGGTGGGACGTTGAGAAACTGATTGCACTTTATGTCGAGAAAGGGAAGTCCTGCATGTTTTCCAAAGCTGGTGTGACTATAACTGAACTTTTCGATTTTGATCTACCAGAAGCTTCCTCCACAGTAATGTGTAACATCTGCATGGATGACGTGCCCTCGGAAGATTTGACCAAAATGGACTGTGGCCACTTTTTTTGCGACACTTGTAAGGAACTTATCAGCTGGACTCAATTTCCCAACTTAACATAACAATATATTCCTTTTTTTTTTTTTTTTGTCATCATATGTCATATGTTTTTATGTTTCTAAATTTAATCAAATATGTCAAACTTCATTGCTATCAGATTGATTAGCATTAATGCACCCATCATTCTAGAAAATATGCTATTAATTCGTCTTGTTTTTCTTTGAGCATTTAACTCACTACGCCTGTTTACTATTTTTTGATAATTTATTAGTTGTCGAAATTTTACAGGCTGGACAGAACATTTCATCGTGAAGATAAACGAGGGCCAGAGCAAGAGGATAACATGTATGTCCCACAAATGCAACTCCATATGTGATGAAGCCATAATCCGCAAGCTAGTCGGCGTGAAGCGCTCCGATTTAGCAGAGAAGTTTGAAAGGTTCCTTCTCGAGTCATACATCGAGGACAACCGAATGGTCAAGTGGTGCCCGAGCGTGCCGCACTGTGGGAATGCGATACGTGTGGAGAATGGCGAATTGTGTGAGTTGGAGTGCTCGTGCGGCCTCCAGTTCTGTTTCAGTTGCCGGTCGGTGGCCCACTCTCCCTGCTCGTGCAGGATGTGGGAGCTCTGGATGAATAAGCGCCGTGATGAGTCTGAGACGGTGAATTGGATGATGGCGCATACGAAGCTTTGTCCCATGTGTTTGAAGCCAGTCGAGAAGAATGGCGGTTGCAACCTGGTTAGCTGCATATGTGGGCAAGCATTTTGGTAGGTGACTTTAGTTTATTTGTTTTTTTTTTTTT